CACAACATGTGAATATGCATGAAAACAAGAGAATATAGAGCTTTCAATGAGTGTGAGGCAAAATTAGATTGTCTTTGCTTAGATTTGATTATACTAAGGATGAAAAAGAGACTAATAGGTGGTCATCATTTATGACATGATTAAAAATTTGTTGGAAACATCCGTTGCATTGGTGTAAAAATACGTGGCTATTGATGATGGATGTCTCCACATTATAATTCCAACTATTGCTCCTTCTATAGAATTATTGCATGATGTATCAATTCTAGAATTAGATGTATGCATCACATTATAAAAAACTCCAAAACTACATCTGATCATAAACAAACAATGATGTCATCAAATAATCAATCCACATAAATATCAATACTAATTATATTCTTGACATTACAGGTCTATAATTTAGACTTAATTTTAGATGTTTAAATTCCACACATAAGTCATTACATCTTGATTTGGTATATATAGAGCACTTTGCTATCAAAGCTACCACATAAGACAAAGGTGATCTATCACCATTTATGGAATTGACAATTTGTGACCATACTTGTTTTATAAATGCTAGTTTGTTTAATCACCAATATTTTTGTTACGATATTTTGTGTTGATTAAACGTAGTTTTGCTTGCCATTTTTTTTTAATAATATGATAGTTGCACACATCTTTGAAATTCATATTTTTATTGAATATTACATCAGAAGATAGAGTTGTACTCATGATAGGAAAATTCCAATATTATTTTTATTAGCCAACATATATATATATATATATATATATATATATATTTCTAATTTCTATACTATAGTTGAATAAGAAAAAACTTAATTTTAATAAAAATGAAAAAAATAAAATTTTATTGATAAAATAAAGATTCCAACTAAAGTAGGGAAAAGATTTTAGAATGTGATTAAATGTGGTGGCATTTCTTTGTGCAACATTCATTACTTTGTGCAACAATGAATGTATTCATAATGTGAATAATGATTCTAGATATTATATAAAACATATAAAATAAATTGATATAAAAATTATTTAAATAATTAGTTAAATAATTAAAATTTTAAAATAAAAAATTACTTATAAATTCTATAAACCTAAAAGTATAACTATTTATTTTTGTGATGGAAAAATTTACCATATTATATAAATAAGCCTGTAATGTAAAAATGAGATAGAATATTGATTAAAGCATAGGAATCAAGTTAGGTACATTCTTTCAAAAGATATTATATTTTTGTTTTAAAATCATTTAGTAATAAAAAGTAACATAATATTGTAGTATTAAACTATAAAAAAGGATAAATATATGTAATCTTGTAAGAAAAAAATACAAGAAGAAAAGATAGATTATTATAAAGAAATAAATTGAAAATAAAAAAGTTAAAATATTTGTAAGTAAAGTATTAAAAACTCTAAAACTTTAATTAAAGTGAAAAAAAAATACTAAAGCCATTAAGAAGCAATTGAAACCAAATAAGAACTTCATTATAAATTTTAAAATAAAAATAAAAATTTAAAGATTTAGTAAAAATAGATTAAAACAAAGTAGAATTTTATGAAAAGAATATAAATGAATTTAGTAGTTAAATAATATTAATATAATAAAATTTTAAAAAATAATGACTTTTATCAATTTTGAGATGTAAGAAACAAATTACCATTTTAAAAATAAAATCAATGCAAATAAGTGTCATAAAATACATTGAAAGATACAAAATATTTTTCATCAATACATTATTGAAGTTTTATTCTAATCAATTTCGAACAATATTTTTTAAAAAAACCATATTTAGAATAAATAAATAATATTAATATTAATAAGTAAAGGTGTTATTTTAAGAATAATAAGAATAATATTGATAAGATATAATTTTAATAAGCATCAACATATTATTTTTCTATTAAAATAGTATTTACATATGTATATAATTCATATTAGAGATTATATAATTACCTATATAGATGGTTGAAATTGCATTATTAGTTGACAACTTGTAGCCACCATATTAGCCATTATATAAGTTAGTAGTCAATGTATAGTTATTACTACCTACCAAGTTGTTATGCAGTCTAACAAGACAAGTGTCAATTGGACCTTGGCGGCTAGGCTAGTTGTTAGTATACTTGCACTAGAAAGTCCATGTCAATGAATCATGGACTTGTGATATAAGAATACTAATCCAAGACTCATTTTAGGTAGTTAGTTCTCTTAAATCCTTAATGGTTGGATAGTGAATTCATATGTATTTCACATCATCATACTTCTATCCTATAGCAATACATACATCATTTTTTTTCAGACAATTTCTATTTTTATTTGCATATGCAAAAATTAAATATCTTCAAGTTTGATATGTATTAATCAATTAAAGCATCAGTGGCAATCTAGCTTAAGAAATTCCTATTTGAGGCAAAGAATAGATTACTTATAATATGCATATTGTTTTTAAAACTTTTGTAGGAATTTAGAACAAGTCTCTTATTAATAAAAATAAAAATAAAAAATAAACTTCTTATATTAGTGTCTCAGTATAATTTTTTTTTTCAATTTTATATCTTAATTTTTCTTATGATTTATAATTGATAAAAAAATATAATAGATAATAATTCTTATTATAATTTCTATTGCTTTATAAAAATATCTTAAGATAATTATATAACTTTCTAAATATATTTTCTTCCATAACATATATATTCATTCAAAACATTCAAAAAATGATAAATAGAAATAAATATGTAAAAGTTTAATTATTGAAAAGAAAGACTTACCTTTTAATAACTTCTATTAAAATTTAATAAATTTTATACTATTCCACATATTCTAAACACATAATAAAAAATTCATATTAATAAGATAAAATTTTAGAATTTCATATATAATTCGAATTTATTTTTCTTTAGTAATAGAATTATACTAATATTTATAATTATGATAGATCTATAATATGATTTCATAAAATCGCATTATTTTTTAGATTATTTTTTTGATATTTAGTATTTTTTATTCAATCTATATATTTATATATATAAACATATTTATGTATTTAATTTTTTTTTTAGCTAAATAAAATCATAAATACTTTAAAGAAAAACATAATTTTATATTTCAATAAATAAAAATTAAAAAAAAAGCACATGGATATTAAATTAATATAAAAGTCTACTATATTTGAAATTATTATATCATAGAAAATTTTGTTTAAGTTGTTTGATAACCTTAAAAATCTTTTAACATATTTAGTTTTAAATTAAAACTTATATATTTTTATGCAAAGATAATAATAAGTGCAACAACATCTATATTGGTAGAATCAAAAATGATTTTATAATATGCCAAATGTTACAACTTCAGGATCTTGTATTATTTTTTATAAAGAATATTTCTATGATGACTTCAAATTTTAGATGATCAATATGTTTATTGTTTTTGAGAGAACAATTTAGTATTAATAATTTACCATGTAAAGTTTAAGTCTTTTTTCTCAACAATGACACTAAAAAATAACAAAAGCATGTATAAAGATATTTCTTTTATAAGTTTTGATATTAATGTTATCAACAAATAATCAATATAAAACTTTGTGTGATATAATTATTTAATTGAAAACGTATTTTTAAGCCTAAGAAGAAATTTTTAAACCAAAATATTACTTTTCATACTTATTTTAAACTTTTAAACTAACTTTTTTATTTTTTTATTATGATTTAAATAATAATACTATAATTAATATAATAAATAAAAAATTATTACCAACAAAATAAGAAAATACATGAAAATAATTTAAGGTGGTTGCTTTTACAATTTAAAAACTCTTATTAATTATGTTTTAGACATTTGACCATATTCTACCAGATTAAGGATTAAAATGATATTTTAAATTAAATATAACTTTTTTCTTTGTATAAATCTAAGTGAAACATAAAAAACAAATAAAGCAAACTTTGACATAAAAATTTATCAACATGATTTGGTAAAAGGTTACAAATTCCCTATAAAGTCATTATGCATTGCATCTCCCTCATACTCATTGTCTTTTACATTACCTTACAAGAGTTAGGATGCTTGGTTACACATGGCATAGTCTATTTGATATGTAATATTCAAAAAAGAGAAAAAGAAAATACAATCCCTACATCTCGCAATTTTGCATAAAAAAATAGATAACCCTACTTTGACACAAGCACCACTTCCAGAAACCTTCCATCTCTAAATGTCAAAACTATATTTTACAAAATCAGGTTGACTTTATTACTTCTCCCAAAAGTTTCCAAACTCAAAAAAAATAAAAAAATAAAAAATCACACTTTAAAATTTTAAAACACCCACCCCCAAAAAGAATTCAACCACTAGAAGTCAAAACTGAGTCAGTAAAAGTGACACACACTACCAAAAAAAAAAAAAAAAAAAAAAAAAAGACACAGTAGAGCCTTCCAGCAACCAACTTGCAATAGTCAAAGTTACAGTGGAGCAAGGAATGAGCCAGGGAGAAGAAAATCAAGTATTGTTATTATTATAATATTTTGCTGCAAGGGTAGTGTAATGGGTTTTCATACAAGCATAAAATATTTAAAAAAACACCTAAAGATTAATATTATTTAATTAATTAATGTGTGGAAGTTGTCCCAGTGTGTTTGGGAGGGAGTGTGTATAAAGGGGTGGGAATAAAGCAATGTCAGCGCCACGTGGCATGCTGGCCCAGATCCCGAGGAAAAATTAAGCCCCCACCCCACCCCCATTAGACTCACACCAGACCAGGCACTAGACTCCTTGACTAGACCCACATTCACTCGCACACACACACTCACAAATGCAGATGCACAGACACACACTCACTTTCACACTCACTCACTCACTTCCACACACACATTTTCTTTTCTGTTCTGTTCTTACATTCATTCATTCTTCCTTTTTCCTTTCCTTTTTGCTTTCCTTGTTCGGCGTTGTTTTCTCTGTTGGTTTGGCTTTTGCTTGGATGGGGTGGCGTGGATTGTGGCGAGGTGGGGGCCGGGTGTTGGACAGCGTGCTCCCCTGTGTGGAGCGTCTCCGTCCTCCTCCTCTCGCTCGGTGGCGTGGCTATGCTTGTGCGTGGTTCCAAGAGTTAGGTGTTGATGCAAGCCATTGCTCGGGTGGAGAGGGCGTGAGGGGGGAGCGTTTCCAGTTAATTGATTGTTGCGGCATCTTCCCTGGGAGGAGCGAGCGATGAGGTGGTAGCAACGACAAGGGAGCCGGTCGGTGTGGACGGTAGCGTTGCGGTCTGATGCTGGCGCTTCAAATGAGCATGTCGCGGACGAATTCGCGCCAGGTTTGTAACACTTTTTTTCTTTTTTGGGGAATTCTTTTTCCCCTGTTGTTTCAATTGTCGCGTGGTTTGTGAATCGTGGCGGTAGTTTGTGGCCGGGGTTGAAGTTTCGTGACGTGAGATCGGTGGGCAAGGGAATGTGGGGGAGCGGAAAGTTTGAGACGCCGGGACGAGGAATATAGGGTTAGGCGGAGAGGGAGAGGAAGCAGCTGCTTGTCGGTTTTGTGATGATTGAGAGGTTTTTGTGGGATGTCGATGGGGTTTGCAGGGTGTTAGCGGTCGGTTTCATAGGTCACGTCATTCTAGGTTGCAGTGACAGGGCAATACTCGCTCTGGTTAATGGCCCTTCTCGGTGTACTCTGTTGCGTTTTTCCAGATTTGTTTAACGTCGCTGTGCTGTATGCAATGGTTTCGTTTCCGCTTTGGGGACCCCGGATTTGTCGTTTTGTTTTGTGGGTTTCCGTTCGGGAGTGTTGATAGCACACATAGTCAGGGACCACGTCAGCCAAGTTATAAATGAGATTAAGGCACTGTGGGGTCTGTTTACATTTCTGGATTGGAACGATCATGAGCAATGAGATTGAATAGGGTTCCAGCGCTTGTCAGACACACCCTTTAAAGACTATGTCCAAGGATTGCCGGTAGCACGGTTTCAGATTGAGTTTATTTCATGGAAGAGAGGTCGTAGGAGAAGCCTTTTAGAAGCAAAGAGAAAGCCATCTTTGTGAGCTTTTACCATCAAATTGCTCTATTACCCAAAAGTGCGGACTCTTAGCATAGAAGCTGTAGTTTACAAGGTTGGAACTCATGTTCACAAGTGATTGACTCAAGTAGCGGAGATTACGAATCCCCTCCTCCTTTTCTCCTTCGGAAATTCAAGAAAGCATTCTAGATAAGCAATTCGTCAAGCCTGCTGGGATAACCTAAGCCGAATCAGCTCCATAATCTGTGAGCGCAGAGGAGTGACATGTGATGGTGGACGATGTGTGGTGCCAGGCCACGGAATAAAACCTCAGAGCCGGCGATGGAGCCAAGCAGGCGGACGATGTCGGGTGGGTATGCCAATAATCCGCCCCCGGGAATGGGGCCTCCCAGGGGGGGAGGCACCCAGCAATGGTCGTTGAGCAATCAGATGAATCGGGGTGAGGACTGGCCGAGAGGAAGCCCTCGCAACGGGCAACAAGGCAATGTGGAACAGTGGGGATTAGGTGCGGTCGGGGAAGGGAGACCGCCTAGCTTGTCGTCGTACTCGTGGAGCATGTCGAGCGAGAGAGGAGACATGGCGGGACTGTCGTCGTCTCCGCACGTGGACGGCAGCCTGGAGAACCTGGAGCCGATGAGGGGGGT